AAACTTTCATTTTAAAAGTTTGTTAGAAAGCCGGGCTCGGTGGCTCAGCCTGTAATCCCGCGCCTTTGGGAGGCTGAGGTGAGTGGATTGCCTGAGCCCGCGGGTTCGAGACCCGCCTGGGCAGCGAGACCTCATCTCTACAATAAATCAAAAAATCAGCCGGGCGTGGTAGCGCATGCCTGTAATTCCGGCTACTTGGAAGGCTGAGGCGGAAGGATCGCCGGAGCCCAGCAGGTCGAGGCTGCGGTGGCCGGAAGTGGCCACTGCACTCCAGTCTGGGTGACAGAGTGAGACTTCCACTCAAAAAAAAAAAAAAAAAAAGTTTGTTAGAAAAAAAATGTTTGTTGTTTAAGCCATCCAGTCTATGACATTTCATTATAGCAGCCTGAGCTAAGACAATGCCCATCTGTTATTTACATAGTGATATGTGGACTGAAGAGCTAGCTGTGAAGTATGTTCTTTATGTGATTACTCACAGTTAATATACCATCAAAATTATTTCTTTTTTTTGAGTCAGGGTCTCGCTCTGTCACCCAGACTGGAATACAGTAGCATGACCACAGCTTTAAACTCCTGGGCTCAGTCAAGCAACCCTTTTGCCTCAGCCTCCCGAGTAGCTGGGACTACAGGCATGTATAACCATGCCCAGCTAATTTTATTATTATTATTATTATTTGAATAGGAGTGTCACTCTGTCACCCAGGCTGGAGTGCAGTGGCACATTGATGGCCACCATGGCCTCAACCTGCTGAGCTCAGGTGATCCTTCCACATCAGCCTCCCAAGCAGCCAGAATTACAGGTGCACACCACCATGCCTGGCTAATTTTTCTTGATTTATTATAGAGACGAGGTCTTGCCAAGTTGCCCAGGCTGGTCTCAAACCCCTGGACTCAGGCAGTCCTCTCACCTCCACCTCCCAAAGTGCTGGGATTACAGGTGTGAGACACCATGCCTGGCTTTTTTTCCCCCTCAGAAGAGACAAAGACTTGCGATGTTGTCTAGGTTGGTGACAAACTCTCAGGCTCAAACAGTCCTCCCACCTTGGCTTCCCAAAGTGTTGAGATTACAGGTTTGAGCCATTGCACCTGGCCCATGATTAAAATTTAAACCATTTTGTTGGGGGAACTGTTATTTAACTAGACCATGGTAACGGAAATCTGTGCATAACAGAACTGTGCAAATGGTTAGATGGTTCACCTGTGTGAATACTGAAGCCACAAGAAACAGTGGCAGGAGTCGGGTACAGATGAAGATTGGGATCTAGTAGCTCAAGTCTTCAAGTGACAAAGAGGAATAAGCTAGGGATGATGGGCGGCAGCAACAAACAGACAAGGGATTGTATATCCAGAAAGCATACACTTCCAGAAGCCAGAATTTTTTAGATCATAGGGGTTTCCTACCCTAACTCCTGCTTCCGAGGCATCAGGGACTAACAGAAAAACAGCTTTCACTTGAGAGGGCTGCAGTGGGACTCCTTGGGGACAGTCAGGTTGCTGTTAGGGGAAAAAAAAACCTCAAAATACATGTGGAGGGGAGGCTGGGAGGAGAGGGTCTGATGACCCACAGTACTCCATAAAATGCTTACAGAGGCAAGACTCGGATGCTGGTCAGATTTCTTTTAGTGGCTGAAGTGAATGTTTATGTGACATTTGATGTGCATGATCTTTACAGTTCCTTAGGACAGTGCTTTAGAAGTTATGGTCTGGAACATTTAGCATGATGATCTAGTGACTTCAGGTGACTCCACCGTTTCATAGGCTCATGGTGAAGTGCTGATAGGTGGAGTGAGAAAAGGGGTGGGTGACAGCAGGGCACAAGTTTTCTTGGCACAAGTCTCAACACAGTCCACTGAGAAAGAAAGGTGAAAAGGAGGTTTTATGATGGGGAAAGGCAATAATACAAAATATTATGAGAGTGCAAAGGGGGGTATCTAACCCAACCTGCAACAGCAATAAGAGAGAAATGGGATTTGCAGTGAGAAGTGTTGCTAAGATCTGAGATGTTTATAATGCACTCAGAATCCAGTTAACCTCAGAAAAAGACAGAATATTGTGTCATGGAGAATCTAGAACCTTAAGAGTAGGCAGAGGAGTTTGTATTCACCCAAAAGACAATCAGGATCCGTTGAGGGGTTTTAAGACAGGGAGTGACAATCAAAGATGATAGCACCATCAAGTTTATGAGTAAGGTGTGGGGATGAGTCTTAAAGCAAAGAAAAATAGGCCCATTAGTTTTTGATAATCAACAAAGGTTTAGTTGCTTAATACTCTTCCCCTGCCCAATAAAATAGAAGTTTGTTCATGAGGGCAATAGCCTTGTCTATTTTGTTTACTATGGAACAATCTACATTTTGTTCTATAGCACCTGGAACATGGTAGATGTATGATGGTGCTGAACAAAAAATAAACAGATGAATAAGTTAAGAAAGCGGCTATTGAAATAGATGTGAGTACCGAGACTAGAGGTATGACAAGAGTGGAAAAGAAGCGATTTTGAGCCACTTCAAAAACTTAAAATCTATAGTTCACCATTGCAAGATGTGGAATCAACCTAACGATCAGTGGATAATGAAAATGTGGTATACATACCATGGAATACTATCCAGCCATAAAACAGGATGAAATAATGTCCTTTGCTGCAATTTGAATGGAATTAGAGGCCATCATCCTCAGTGAAGTAATGCAGAAAGGGAAAACGAAATGCTGCATGTTCTCAGAAGTAGGAACTAAACTAAGGAATTGCAAAGGCATTGAGAGTGACATAATGGACACTGAAGATTCAGAAGGGGGCAGGAGAAAGAGGGTAGGAAAGAATGTGCACAGGTGGGGGTAGAAGATACAGTTAAAACTCAGGCTTCTTCATCACCATACAATGCATCCATGGAACTAAAAATCATTTGTACTCCCAAAGCCACTGAAATAAAAATTTTTTTTAAAAATCTATAGAATTTGACAACTAAGTATACATGGGAGATTAGAGAAGGGCAAGAGAAAAAACAGAGGTAAAGGTAATTCAGAGATGTCAAACCTTGTAAGAATAGGTAACATTAAAGGTACTAGGTAATTAAGACTTAGTATGCTCTGACATAAGTGCTTGATTGCATATTATCTAATGTAATTCACCTGCAAACCTTAAGAGAAAGATATAGTTCTCATTTGACAGATAAGTCTGAGACAGTCAACTCAATTACTAGACAGTATATTTTGCAACTAATTTGTCTTGGCATTCATCAGGAAAGCACATTGTTTAACAGGACATATTTCATAGGTTTGCTATGACTAATTTATTCTATAGGCAAAGTTAGCACTGATAGCTCCTTTTTAAAAGAGTATTTGGCGGGTTCATGACCCGCCTGGGGCAACTTGGCGAGGCCTCCTCTCTACAATAAGTCAAAATGAGCCGGGCGTGGTAGCATGCACCTGTAGTTCCAGCTACTTGGAAGACTGAGGTGGAAGGATTGCCAGAGCCCAGCAGGCTGAGGCTGCGGTGGCCGGGAGCGGCCACTGCACTCCAGTCTGGGTGACAGAGTGAGACTCCAAATCAAAAAAAAATTAAAAAAAAAAGATTATTTGGGCCACAACTATATACTCTGTAGTATGGAACTGTTAGGCCTGGATTATCCACTCATTCTCTCCAAATGTTAGAGCACAACTGGAACGATGTTCTAAGAATAACTCTATCCAAGGCTGGTGTCAGTGACTCAAACCTGTAATCCCAACACTTTGGGAAGCCAAGGTGGGAGAATTGCTTGAGCCCGGGGCTTTGAGATCAGCCTGGGCAACAGAATGAGACCTCATCTCTAAAGAAGGAGAGAGAAAGAGAAGAAAAAAGAGAAAAAATCCTTTTCAATAACAACAAAATTTTTTCAAAAGAATAACTGGGCAACATAGCAAGACCTCGTCTCTAAACAAATAAATAAAGTATATCCTTTTCAACAACAACAACAACAACAACATATTTTTTAAAAAAGAATAACTCTGGCCAAGCTTTCACACACTCCCTGAGGTCAACTCCATTTGGGTCTGTTCAGGCAGGAATCGTGGTTCAGTTCCTTCACACTCATAAACACACACCAACTCGTTATAAAACATAAATGAGAAAAACTTCTACTGTTTTATCTTCTAGTTTATAGAGAATACAACTAAAGGGCATTTTTACTGATCAACAAGCTAAACATGGATTTTCCAGCTCTGATTGTAACTATGAAGATAAATCATACTGATGATCACAGGTACGACTGCTTGCCTCCCTGACACCGTCCTTGCTGGAAGAGTCTCAGTATGTGCACTGTATCCACACTTTTCACATGATCACGTGCTTTAGGGAAGGAGGGCTCTTGCCCCTCCCCTAAGGAGGGAATTATGGTTGGTGCAGTCGTGGGAATGTGATTACATTCTATCAAATTAAACAAATGTATATGGAAGTCTGTGGGGACAGTGGAAGGATGAAAAAAATCTGGATTCTTGATCAAATGCCTAAGAAAGAAAATTTTCCTAATTTCTTATGTTGGATTTTTCAGGTTTTATATCTAAAAAGGGCCTATCAAACTAACAAATAACAACACATTTGTAAGCATTTTGACTGGAGAGGGAGGACATTAGTTAGGGAAATATTAAATATATTAGCATCTTTTTTTCAAACTTGGTAATTCTTTTCAAAAAAAATGAATACCATCCAAAATGATCAGCCCTTATAAATCCCCAAAACCTATCTTGACATCTACTAGATTTGATTCTTTACAAGGTTGCATCTTAATTCCCTGTAGCAAATTGTTGTATTATTAAATCTAAAAAGAATTATATTTTATAACAACAATATTATAATCCACTATAAGAATTCATACACACACCTTTCATACTATACTGGGGCAACCAAATGCTAATAAACATACCTAGTAAATATAAATGTAAAAATCTAGCTTTTCCTTGTTCATTGTTAAAATACAATTAAAAGGCCTCAATTGCAGGTAAGAATATGGCCAATCAAAACTACAATGAGGTTCACAAACATATACATTTTATTTATTTTTGAAGAGTTGGAACTCTTTAGTACCTGTAATGAGCTATTCACAATAGAGAGCAAACACCAAGATCAGTGCCACGTAGGATTCAGCTTCATGTTTAGCTGAGATCCAGTTGTCCCATGTGACATCCCAGATTCCTCTGCTGGCAACCTGTGAGAGAAATTTTCAAAAGATCGACTTTAGATTGTATATGTTCAGAAGTAATTTTCAAATCTACACTAGTTTGGTTTCTTAAAATAGGTGGATTGTTATCTCAAAAAGTTATTTTAAACAATTGGTAATTTTCCAATTTTCCCTTTTATGAAGAGACTTGAGAGTGATGCTATCTCACCCGTCCTTCTTGTCTGCTGGAGCTGGTAGTTTAACTCAAGAGATGCTCTCTTGGCAGTGTGTCCAGGTGTAGGAACAGAAGGCCCTGTAGAATGGGCTCTAGTAGTTCTGCATATGGCACTACTCTGCTGTGTAGACCATGATAAGGAATTCTGCACCCTTAAAAGATTGATAATCAAAAGTTTGTCAGGGCCAGGTACAATGGCCCATGCCTGTAATCCTAGCTCCTTAAGAGGCTGAGGAGGAAGGATCACTTGAGGCCTGGAGTTTGAGGCCTGCTTGGGCAACTTAGCAAGACCTTATCTCTACCAAAAAAATTAGAAAAAATAGCCAGGCATGATGATGCACATCTGTAGTCCCAGCTACTCAGGAGGCTGAGGCAGAAGGATCACTTGAGTCCAGGAGGTCTGTGATGAGCTGTGATTATGCCCCTGCACTCCAGCTTGGGTGACAGAGAGAGACTCCAACTAAAAAAAAAAAAAAATTGTCGGAACCTTGTCTTGAAATGAAATTGCATGGACTATACAAGCAGGCTCTCACGGAAAATCCTAACTACTTTTTTCTACATACAAAGTCACACATGATTTGACTCAACCCAGTTTTCTGCAGTGGATCACAAATGGTCACAAATTCTTTGTGACTTTTCCTATCAAGAGGTTGACTTCATTTACCCACCCTTTGAATGAGTTGGTCTTGTGACTTGCTTTGAACAACACAACATGGCATTGTGCAACTTCCAAGCAAGGCACTCAAAGGCCCTGCTGCCTCCACTCACCCTGTGGAACACCATGCTGAGACCCCCGTGTAAGAAAGCCCATTCAATCTGCTGGAGGATGGCTCACATGCAAGTGGACCTAGGTGCCCAGGCAATAGCCAGCCCAACAGTCAAACATGTGAGAGAGGCCCAAGTGAGTCACCAGACGGCTACAAGTTCACCAGTGAGCCAGTAGAAAAGCCAAGCAGCTGAGCATGGCTGAACTGGTCCACAGAAAGTGAGCAAACACATGGCTGTTGCCTTAACTACTGAGTCTCAGGGTGGTTTGTTGTGCAATATTAGCTGACACATCCCCCACTCCACAGCATCGCACCACCCTCCATTAGCTAAAAAGCCCAACTGCCTTGTTACTCATCAAGCACACACCAAGTACATCCCTGCCTAAGAGGCTTCACACTCTAAGTTCTCTCTGCTTGGAACATCCTCCCTTATCTTTGGTACAGCTGGTTCCTTCTTCTTTGGACATCAGAGGGTCCTCCCTTCTCTAGACAGCCCCAAGTAGCCACCTTGCCACACTATCACATACCTACCTCAATTTTCTCCTTAGAATACCTATCACCATTTAGGCTTCTTGCTGGCTGTTCTCTCACCTCTCTCTGCCTGTCCTAGTCCTCACCATGCTTCATCATGGGGTCTGCTCCTCCATGGAGCCTCTACAGACTGTTCCAAATACACATTTTTGTCTTTTTTCTCTCCAACTCCTGCATATTCACCATCAACTCCCTAGATACCTACCCAGCCTAGTGTGATTATCTTTTTATTAATAAATAATGTTGCCGGGCTGGGTGGCTCAGCCTGTAATGCCGCGCCTTTGGGAGGCTGAGGTGAGTGGATTGCCTGAGCCCGCGGGTTCGAGACCCGCCTGGTCAGTGAGACCTCATCTCTACAATAAATCAAAAAATCAGCCGGGCATGGTAGCGCATGCCTGTAATTCCGGCTACTTGGAAGGCTGAGGCGTAAGGATCGTCGGAGCCCAGCAGGTCAAGGCTGTGGTGGCCGGGAGCAGCCACTGCACTGCAGTCTGGGCGACAGAATGAGACTCCAACTCAATAAATAAATAAATATTAACAATTACCTTGCTGTTGGTTGAGGGTTCTATGCTGGTGACTGACTATGTTAAGGATCTTAATACAGGTAATTTCATTTAATGCTCATAACACCTCTAGGAAGTTAGTTTTATCATCGCCATTTTATAGGTGAAAACACTGTGCCAAGGCTCTAGCCAGTGAGTGTTGCTGCCACACTTCATGTGAAGGCAAACTGACTCCCAAACCAAGCTGTTTATAGTATCCCTACCACTATTTCTTTAAGTTCTAAAGTGTGCTGCTGTTTTATATCCTTGACTGGAGTAAAAGCTCCTTGAGGTTCATGGTCCACGACTTACCATTCTTCGTGTTTTCCTCAGCAGCTAACACACATGAATGCCCAAAATAAATGTACTGCTTAATTAATTAAATGACATTAAATTTTCAAAACTGATATGATTGAAGAACAGAATAACCAAGTTAATAAATTATTAGTAGCAAATTGCTATTTCTGGGTTACTACTTTTCAAATAATTTAGAGTGAAATAAAATGTATTTAACAAAGCAATCCTTTCATTTAAGAGGTACCTCAGGATTCTTGGAGTACCTTGGAGTCATCATAATAAATATTAAATCACTGGGGAGAAGTTGCCTTATAGTTCTAACTTCAAAGTCCTGGATCAATGAGATACTTACATTTATTGCTTGACCGGTCTTTTGAATAAGTAATACTTTTATAATGAACTTATAACGGTGGTACCCAAATTCTTTGACTGCTAACAATATGTGGTCTGCCAACTCAAGTGACAAACGAGAGAAGATTTTATCATCATATTTGACATCTTTAAGACTTTCCTTAAAAAAATTTAAGAAAAAATTTTAATTTTCAAACCAAATATTTTCCATATAAAAAATTCAAGTAGAAAACATGTCTAAATAATACAAGTTTAAAAAATACATATACACCTAGCCAATAATAAGTAAATTTTACCCGTACCAATTTATTTCTCTAACAAGTTTGAAGAAAATTTATTTTTGTTTTTAAATTATCTTCAGTTGCTTTTCTTTTTCAAGCCATAAGCTGTAAGTTGTATTTTACTAGACTACTCTGCCAAACCGTTAATAGGCAGACACCAGGGGTATTCTAAAAGAAGTCTTCTGGAAATTCTCAAAGGAAATAATTTTTTTCAAATTAATATATTGGTTAAAATTCAGATTTCAGTTTCCCTAAAGCGAGGGTTGCTTGGACCCAGAGCCTACACCTTGTCACTGCCCTGCTCAGTGGGCTCACATTAGAACCACTTCTTTCTAGTCCTCCCTTGTGGCCTCTCAGTCCACTGGTTTTCTTCTTCGGCCTCCAGGAGAATGAAAAGGAAATCAAAGATTTCTAATCATGTTTATTAATTAACGTATAGCTTGGAGGAAACAGACATAGCTAGCAGACTGTAAAGCATTACTCTTTCTCACAAACCATGAGCAGACCTGGAGAGCTCGCAGGCAGACCACACATGCCTGATGAACTGATTTGGTATGTGCACCAATGGCACAGTGCTCCTGGTCTGGTGATGGAGTCCTCCTAGCTAATTTAATAGGAATGAAAACCAAAGAAACTGTCTCTTCTTTTTTGGTTTGGTTTTGGTTCCCTTCTAGGATGTACCTGGATCTAGATGCATTTGTTTCCCTCAGGCATTGGGCCATGGCACTATCCTCTTGACACTGTGCATCATCTGTGTTCTCTGCAGAATCTGACTCAGGCTCAAGCTCTATCTTTGCTGAGAACAAACTCAATCCACTGCTTGTCTATCTAGGAACTGCCCCAATCCCATGTGCTGCTTACAACCCTGATGGTCGGAGATTTGGGGTGGTTTTCCTAAATCAGAGTTCTAAACAATGGCAGTTCTTGGGTTATCTACAATTAGCAAAAGTTGTATTTGACAATTTTGTTTGGTCCCCTAGTTTTAAAAATCAGTGCAGGTCGAGCGTGCTGGCTCAAGCCTGTAATCTCAGCACTTTGGGAGGCCGAGGCGAGAGGATTGCCTGAACCCAGAGGTTGGAGATCAGCCTGGGCAACTTGGTGAGACCCCATCTCTACAATATATCAAAAATTTAGCCAGGCGTGGTAGAACATGCTTGTAGTCCCAACTACTTGGAAGGCTGAGGTGGAAGGATCGCCTGGGGTGGTTGTGAACATGCCACTGCACTCTAGTACAGTTGGGCATGTTTATCTTTGATGGGTAATTACCACATCCACTTCATTTATTCATGCCAGTTGAGACAATTGTAAGCACATGAATTGGCAATATGTAATTTTAAGAACTCAGAACTGACTAGAAAATAAGTTCTTTAAACCCAAAGAATTATCCTAGACACTTCCAGCTTTTCCCCCAAATTCCTCTGATTTCAGTCCCTACACCTCATACTCTCCAATACTCTAAAATTGTCTCCTTCCCCATTCACACCCAGAATCTGTCTTGCAACTGTGGGCCTCTTGGCCCTACCTATTCAGTAAGCCACTTGTATTACCTGAGACTCTTTCTCTGTTTCAGGTATGAGGTTGCCCAGAGAGCCCCGGGTAAAATCGTGCTGACTCTTCATTTAAAATGAATAGGTCATGGATTACATTTTCCATATTCTCCAGACCACAGCATCATCTTTCTTTATTCCCCCTCCTCCTCTGTCTCTACTCACATCCCGACTTGCCAGGCTGTTCTGGCTTGGCTGAGAGATGCCAGGCTTAACCTGCCTAAGTTCTCCTTTTTAATAAATAATACAATTTGCTATTGCAAGATACCCACAAGATCCATCAATATATAGTATTCCATGTCTAAACTATAGTCACTGTTCCCTGAACCCAAGGGAAAAATCCCTGGCCTTCTGTGATCCTTAGCCAGCCACCCACATTTCCAATAAGTTGTTCTAGGCCCCATCATATGCAATGCAATTCTGGAAACTATTGTATGTTAAATATAACTCAAAATCCTACTATATTCAATAAATTTGAATTTAGCCTATGTGGTAGGACCAAGTGAGAGACAAGTCAAAATGTACACTCTTACACTACAAATGCTTGCTATTAATGTTTAGATCAGAGAAACCGGTAATGAATAATTATGTTATTGTATTTAATTCAATTTAATCTATTTTCTGAAACCATGAGCCATGATATCTTTTCCAAATATCATCTGACAATTACTAGTTCAGTTTAGAAATGTATCTATGTTTATGGTAGGGTAGTAGAGGGAAATTAAAAGGTAGTATAGAGGATCAAAATATGCTGCTATAGCATATTGATTATCTTAAGATAAGGCACTTGAAAAACAGCAGATGCAAGAAGGCACTCTGATTTCCTTTTTCTTCCTGAAAGCAGGAGATAAAACTCCCATGTGGAAAGTTTCTACCCTGTACCAGGAGAAAAAAAGACATTATTCCCAGAGATGTGGAGTGGAGGCAGAGGGAAATCTGTACAAACCAACCTTGTTAAACTAACCTTGATCTGCTTAGTTAGTTCACATTGTTCTGCCCTGGCCCAAACTCCTTTGTCTTATCACATTTTTCACAATTTACTACTCTTTATTTAGACTAGTATATAAGCATTGGCTCTAACTGCTTCTTTGTATCTTCATTTTTCTTGTGGAGACTTCCATATACATGTAAAAATTACTAAATAAAGTTTGTATGCTTTTCTCCTGTTAACCTGTGTTATATCAGTTTAATTCCTTGGCCAGGTAGAAAACTTAAGAGGGTAGATAAGACACTTTACCTCTCCTACCTAAATATTTTTTTTCCCTTATATCTTAGCCTAATAAAAAGATTTTGTGTCTTTAATTTAGCAATACAAAAGAATATGCTTAAGTGAGCAGATAAAGACTTAAAACTACTTTTAGGATAGAAATTGCTGTGCATGTTATTGCCCCCAGTTTTTCTTACAAAAATATTCAAAAATACAGAAAAATGGATAATGATATAATGAACACATGGGTAAGAATATTTTGGCCAGGCGCAGTGGTTCACGCCTGTAATGCCAGCACTCTGGGAGGTCAAGGTATGGGGATCACCTAAGCTCAGGAGTTTGAGACCAGCCTAGGCAACATAGTAAGACCTTGTCTCTATTAAAAAAAAAAACCCAAATTAGCCAGATGTGTACATCTGTAGTCCCAGCTACATGGGAGGCTGAGGCAGAAAGATCACCTGAGCCTAGGAGGTCGCAGCTGTGATGAGCTGTGATCGTGCCACCGCACTCCAGTGAAAGCTCACTGCACTCACTTGAGAGCCTGACTTAAAAAAAGGAAAAAAAGGATATTTTGCCTAATTCATCTTTACTTGCACATACATATTTTTTGGTTGTACCATTTAAGAAAAGGTTGTATCAAGCACAATTCACTTCCAAATACTCTTAAGTATGTTTCCTAATAAAGGTAATCTTACAAAGTCACAACACATAATCACACCAAGAAAATTAACAATCCACTTGTATTGTTAATATATCTAGTATTTTTCACATTTTCAAATTTTTCCAATTGTCCCATAATTGTTTGTTTAAACCAAGGTCTAATCTAAGTTTATGCACTTTTTTGGTAGGCACTTTTACAGTTTTACTTGCCTGTCAAATTTTCATGAGCTGCCTTAATTTACACATCCGAAAAAAGGATTATTAGAGAATTTTCCATTATCCTCAATATTACAGTCAAGGAATATTTTGGGACCAGTGATAAAACAGAAAATGAGAATTCTAGAACAAAGATTATTTATTTATTTTTGAGTAGGAGTCTCACTCTGTCACCCAGGCTGGAGTGCATTGGCACGCTCACGGCCACCGCAGCCTCGACCTGCTGGGTTCAGGTGATCCTTCCGCTTCAGCCTTCCAAGATGCAGGAACTACAGGTGTGCGCCACCATGCCCAGCTAATTTTTCTTGATGTATTGCAGAGATGAGGTCTTGCCAAGTTGCCCAGGCTGGTCTCGAACCCATGGACTCAGGCAATCATCTCGCCTCTGCCTCCCAAAGTGCTGGAATTACAGGTGTGAGTCACTACACCCAGCTACAAAGATAATTTTAAAATGATGCACAAGCAGTCTCCACCTAGCAAATAAAGCAGTCATCTTCATCCCAGACATGCTTCTACCTAGTTCCCCAACTTATTCTTCTCTGAGAAGAGTGGAAACATGCAGGAATATTTAGAATCTGCAAATGCAAAGTGACAGGGAAAGAAAAGTCTGTGGAGAACAGGAAGTACTTAGAGAACTGACACTGGGGAAAACTTCCCAAGCAGAGTTGGAGTCTACCTAACCAGCAAATCCACAGCTCCCACATTTCTTTCCTTTCCTAGATTGCTATTCTCCCTTGCTACACCGTCTTAATTTATACCAACTAGAATATACTTGTATTAATAGAGTTTCTCACTTAAAGAATTACCTTTGATATGATTAAAAGGGCATTAGTCATTTCTACAAAATAAACATACGCTTACTCAAAAGCTAGGTCACATCAGTTATTACTGAAGGAATGCATCTTGTCAATTGGGGAGTGGGGTCAGGAATTTTAAAATAATAAACACCTCTGGGGTGGGATTAAATTTATTGAAGTCCCATGAAGGGAATAGGGTCATCAGAAAACTGGGTACCTGGTTCCCAGAACTAGGGCCCAAAGGTGAAAAGGGGATTTGGAAAAAGAGGTCCTCAGAACAAACCTCCCCCCGGTTAAAAAATTTCAGTGTGGTCCTTTATTAGGAAAATGGTGAGGGGAATTCTTTCTACCTGAAAAATGTAGTCCTTCAGATACCAAAACTAGTATAAATACTGTCGGTATTAATATTGGTATTATATTAGTTACGCAAAATTAAAGCAATTTTTTAAGGCTAGCCTGGAAACACATGTCTAAGTTTCAAATAACTCTCTTAAGTGGATCTGAATTAGATCCCAGTCAAATTAAAGCAGAGGCTGGGCTCGGTGGCTCAGCCTGTAATCCCAGCACTTTGGGAGGCTGAGGCAAGTGAATTGCCTGAGCACGCAGGTTCGAGACCCACCTGGGCAACTTGGCAAGACCTCGTCTCTACATCAAAAATTAGCTGAGCATGGCAGCGCGCGCCTGTAGTTCCAGCTACTTGAAAGGCTGAGGCAGAAGGATTGCCAGAGCCCAGCGAGTTGAGGCTGCAGTGGTCAGAAGCGTGCCACTGCCCTTCAGTCTGGGCGATGGAGTGGGACTCCAACACACACATACACACACACACAAATTAAAGCAGAAAACACTCTATGCCTAAGTTGGAAATTGCTTGTTTTTAAGAATTTTTTTCAGTAATAAAACTTATTTTGAGTATCTTTAAAAAAATACTTTAAAGATGTGAATACAATTCAGGATTAAGTATACAAGTGGACATTGTACAGGGAAAATTTGGGCCTCCTTTTGGTCCCCACTTTGCCTAGTTTGAAATCAGGTACCCTTATTGACGTTGTGTCCCTACCCCCACCCTGGCAATTATCCCACTACTGCCAATCCCTTTATTATAGTATTATAGTAAATGTTCACAGTCCGCTTATGAGTGAGAACATATGATACTCTGTTCTTTTTTTCTGTGATAGAACACTGAGTATTAGAGACTCTAAATCCATCCAAGTTGCTGCAAAGTTCACATATTTGTCCTTTATGGCTGCGTAATATTCCACTGTGTGTATGTACTACTTTTTTTTAAAATCCAGCCCAGTTTCAATGGGCAGCATTGTTGCTTCTATGTTTCTGCTATTGTGAATAGTGCTGCAATAAACATGAGTGTGCACGTATCTTTTTTGTAGAATGATTTGCGTTCCTCTGGGTATATTCCCAGTAGGGGGACTGCTGGGTTGTTTTTAAAAATGTAGTCAAGAATCAATTGTTTTCACACATACATATTCGATTGCTTTTACATTTATTTCTCCAAATAGAAGAGAAACATAGGACTCGAGGGAAAAATAACATGGATAATTAAGAGCTGAGTGAAATAACAAAATGCCTTTTATTCCAACTCATAGCATTAATGTGAAGATTACTGAGTATGATTACAACATACCTTGTAGCTTTCAAAGATAAATGTTACCAAAAAATCTAGTTAAACTGTCATCAATTTTAGTATAGTTTATCAAATCTCCAAAAGCCAAGATATTTGTGGTTAATTTTATGTGGCAACTTGATTGGGCTAAGGAATGCACAGATAGCTGGTAAGACATTATTTCTAGGCATGTCTGTGAGGATGTTTCTGGAAGATCTAACATTTGAATCAGGAGACAGTAAAGATAACCCTCACTAATGCAGGTGAACATTATCCAATCCACTGAGGACCTAATCGAACAAAAGGATGGAAGAAGGGATAATTTTTTCTCTGCTTGAGTTGGGACATCCATCTTCTCCTACTCTTGATTAGCATTCCAGGTTCTTGGGCCTTTAGATTAGGACTGGAATTTACATCATTGCCTCCCCTGGTTTTCAGGTCTTTGGACTTAAGACTATATATTACACCACTGGTTTTCCTAGTTTTCCACCTTGCACATGGAATATCGTGGGAACTCCTGGCTTCTATGACTGCTTGAGCCAATTCCTATAATAAATCTTCTATATACAATCTGTTTCTCTTTTACTACCATTTTTATTTATCAACCTACCGTTAATATCTGCTGGACTTTAGTTTCTACTGGATGAGTTTGGAATTTCTTTAATGGCTCCATTCTATATGAATTAGCAAACTTTAATTTTGCCAGGGCACTCTTCCATTCTTTACCTATATCAGCAATTGAGTCATCAAATGGAGGCTCTACATACTGAACATCATGGATTGACTCTCTCAGTCTTTCTCTTAAAATCTGTGTATACTGGAGGTGAGAATGAGAGTGAAAATGAGAGTGAGGGAGAGGGAGGGGGAGTGGGAAAGGGGAGAGGGAGATTACCTTTTAAATCGTAAAATGAAATTTCAGATTAAAGAACCCTGGTACAGGCTGGGTGCAGTGGCTCACACCTATAATCTCAGCACTTTGGGAGGCTGAGGTGAGAGGCTTGCCTGAGTTCACAGGCTCAAGACCAGCCTGGGCAACTTGGCGAGACATCATTTCTACAATAAATAAAAAATTAGCCGGATATGGTGGTGTGTTCCTGTGGTTCCAGCTACTTGGAAGGCTGAGATGGAAGGACCACCTGAGCTCAGCAGGTCAAGGCTGTGGTGGCCGTGAGCTTGCCACTGCACTCCAGCCTGGGCAACACAGTGAGAGACTCTAACTCAAAAAAAACCCCCAAAAAACAAAACAAAACAAAAAAAACCTGTTACAGTGGGGCAGAGCTGACACACAGCTTTGCAAATCTGTTGCAACAGACTTCTACAATAATGTGGCCACTAAATCCTAGACAAAAAAAAGATTATCTATCCTTTTATCTATACACACAAACATATAAATCGTGTGCAGGTATTTAACCATTTGCACTTGGATGTTCCCTCTGATGGACACTGTAAATCTAGCAAATCACTCGGATGTCCCCTCTTAGGGGACATAAAGAAATTGCTGGTGATTATACAGGACAGATTTATGCAAGTGCAAATTTTTCAAAAATTTATATTTCCTTGAGGTTTTCCATTTAAATTGCATGGAAAAACAAATAAAAGATGGAATATATACTGACATATAATCAATCAGTTGAGAAGTGGTTTTCGGAAATCATGAGTGTTCCCTTCCACATCTTAGAACAACAGACTGGACAATAAATTACATATTATTAGTGTGGGAGGAAAAAAAATGAGACTGCATTGTCTGCTCGAGTAAAAAAAACCTGGTGGAAGATGTCAAATTATTATTCACAACATGTATCAATGAATCTGCAACACATGTTGTGACTGTTTCACACATCGAATAACATAAGATAAAAAATTTTAAATTTTTTTTTGTCATAAGTTCCTCAGGCCAGGCGCAGTGGCTCACACCTGTAGTCCCAGCACTTAGGGAGGCAGAGGTGAGAAGACTGCTGAACCTAGTAGTTCCTGACCAGCACAGGCAACTTAGCAAGATGTCTCTACAATAAATAAAAATCAGCCAGGCATGGTGGTGCACACTTGTTATCCCAGCTACTTGGAAGACTGAGGGGGATGGATCACTTGAGCCCACCAGGTCGAGGCTGCGAGTGAGAGTCTGACTCAACAAATAAAGTTCCACAACGTCCAAAATTCCATTATAAGAAAAATATCACTATAATAAAATAATTGCCTCCAATGCGATACTATGTAATATGAAGTGATTCGTTTCTCACCATTTAAAACAATTGTTTAGATGAGTTGCTGCTAGGTGACCCGCGAGTGCAAAGGATATGGTGGTGTGTTCCTGTGGTTCCAGCTACTTGGAAGTCTGAGATGGAAGGACAACCTGAGCTCAGCAGGTCGAGGCTGTGGTGGCCGTGAACTTGCCACTGCACTCCAGCCTGGGCAACACAGTGAAAGACTCTAACCCAAAAACATTTTTTTAATTTTTTACTTTTTTTTTTGTCATAAGTTCCTCAGGCCAGGCACATGAAATATTCATGAAAGACCCAAGGCAGCTAGAAACAAGAGTGACCTCCAGAAATGGCAACTGAGTGGCTAGACGATAGGGATATGAGGAAAGCCTGTTTTGCTTCCTCCCCTGAGGTTATGAAAATATTATCCTTGTCTTACAATTTTATTTATTTTATCTTTAAATAATAGAATTACTTAAGTAACATTCATAGGTTTTAAGTTGAAAAGGCATCAAAAGTGTACTGATGTGGCATACACATCAGTTCATGCTTTTGACATCCAACATTCATTCTGTGATATTCAACATGCACTAAGAAAATATTTAGTGCCTAAGATGTTCCAAGTAAATGCTCTAGCCTCTTAAGTGGTGAGCTTCACTTTAATAATAGCCAGGATTTTTTTTTTTTTTTTTCTGCCTCATTACTTGGCTAGAACTTCCAGTTCTATGTTGAAGAGAAGATGCAAAAGTGACATTCTTACCGTTTTTCCTAATAGCAGAGAAAAGGCTTTCGGTCTTTCACCATTGAGTATGTTTGCTGTTTTTCATATATGGTTCTTATTATGTTCGCTTCTATTACTAGTTTGTTGGGCACCTTTTAATCACAAGAATAAACTCTGTCAAAAATTTTTTTATCAATTGAGATAACTGTGTAGTGTATTTTTTCTTAGTTTATTATATTAATCTATTTTCATATAGATTCCAGGAAGAATTCCAAGTATAAGAAATTATACTTGGTGTATAATCCTTTTAATACACTGCCTGCTTGCTAGTGTTCTGTTGAGGACTTTGACTTTGGCATTAGGGTAATGCTGGCCTCACAGAATAAGTTGGACAACATTCCCTCTGCTTCTGTCTTTCATAAGCAATTGCAGAGAACTACTATATCTTCCTTAAACATTTGACAGAATTCACCAGTGAACTCACCTGGGTCTAGTCCTTTGTTTCAACATCATTTTTGATTCAATTTAAAAAAAAATAGATATAAGCCTTCTGAGATCCTCTATTTCTTCTTGTGTGAGTTTGGCAGATTGCAGCTTTTAAGGAATAGGCCCATTTCATCTAGAGTATCAAATCTGTGGACACAGGTGATTCATAATATTTCTTAACTTTTTGATGTTCATGGGATCTTTAGTGATGTTTCCTCTTGCATTTTTGATAGCAATAATTTGTGTCCTTCCTCTTGTTAGTCTGGCTTATCAATTTTACTGAGCTTTTCAAAGAAACAGCTTTTGTTTTGATTCCTGTTTTCAATTTCATTGATTGTTGCTATAATTTTCATTATTTCTTTTCTTCTGGTTACTCTGGACTTAATTTGCTCTTCTTTGTAGTTTGATGGAAGATGGAGACATTATTTATTTTAGATTTTCCTTCTTTTCTAATACATGCATATTCAGTGCTATCAGTTTCCCTCTAAGCCCTGTTTTTTCTGCATTCTACAGATTTTAACACGTCGTTTTCATTTTCATTTAGCTCAAAATATTTTTAAAATTTCTCTTGAGAGCAATGCTGTGGCCATGTGCTCTTTGAGCTACGACCAGGCCATGTTTTCTTAAGCTTTGGCCCCCTCCCCTTCCGTGGAGAGGTGAATTCCCCCCCTCCAATTTACTTTCTAAATAAACTATATTTTCTAATCTAGTTTCTGTGTAATTCTTTGCATCTTTCATGTGGCATTAGATCCCACAACAGTCACCCACACCCCTGAAAGTCATGACCTAACATTCCAGAGGACCTGCTGAGGATGTGACACTAATAAGACCTAAATTTTAAAATTGAAAACGAAACAATGAAATCTTGGTTCATTGAAAATATAAAGTAAGAAGGCCGAGTAAGTCCAAACAAATCAATAACTACAATAACTGTCCATGTTTTCACTCACCCGTTAGGAGGCAGAGACTCTCTGATAGGTTTTTTCTGAAGCCCAGCTATCTGTGCTGGCAAGATGTCAAGTACCCCAAGGGCTCCCTCGGGATTAGAGTTCCTGTCTGCCAATCTCCCCTGCCATGTCACATTACCTCAGCTGGCCTGATGCTTCAAGCCTTTCATTCTCAGAATTTGCCATTGGGCCCCTTGCTTGCTGGGGGCTGAGGAATACCTTTTGGTCACTCTAGATGGGGTGGGTTGGCTATTACAGTCACTTGTCAGTCATCTCCCCTCAGCAAACCAGGAACTACCTATTTCTAAATTATTTCACCTTCCAGCAGGAATTGGCTACAAAAAATAATAATAATTTCCATGTCTATATTTGTTTGCTTATCTGTTCTTGCATACTATTTTACAAGCCAGAAACCTTAACAAATATACATATATATATATATATATATATATGTATATATATATATATACACACACACACATATTTGAGTTGGGAGTCTCACTCTGTCACCCAGACTGGAGTACTGTGGCATGCTCACAGGCACCCCAGAGTCAGGATGGCCAGTAATGAGTAGAACTGACAAAAACATGGCAAAAATTCATCGAATTGTGTGTCAATATCACCGGCTGACTGTGAAAAGCATAGCATACAAAATAAACATCAATACAGAAACAGGAAAATCTTAACTGAAAATCCTGGCATGAGAAAGGGGTGCGCAAAAACGGTCCCCAAAGAGCTTTTGCATCACAACAATGCACCAGCTAACAAAGCACTGCCGGTGAGGCAGTTTTTAAGTTAGTAAACAAATAACTGTACTGGAACACCCTCCTCACTCACCTAATCTGGCCCCCAGTGACCTTCTTCTTTACCCAAAGATAAAGGAAATATTGAAAGGAAGATATTTTGATGACATTCAGGACTTCAAGGATAATACGATGACAGCTCTGATGGCCGTTCCAGAAAGAGTTCCAAAATTGCTTTGATGGGTAAACTAGGTGCTGGCATTGGTGCATAGCTTCCCAAGGTGAGGACTTCGAAGGTGACCATAGTGATATTCAGCAATGAGGTCAGTGGTACTTTTTCTAGGATGAGTTCATGAACTTAACTGTCAGACCATATATGTATCTCTTCATTTTGAGTTCAGGCTCACCTAATTTTCAAGACCACCTCAGATTTTTAATAAGCAGTAAGTCTATAAAAGTCACCTGTGTCTGGCTTAATACATAGACAATTTTTTTTTAATTATTGGCAAGCTATCTGTTACTCAGACTTATTGCCAGGAAATACAGCAGTGACTGGGAGTATAAAGTTTGAAGTCCAACAGTTTAGGTATCTAACCTTGCTTTGCTCTTTGTCTTAGCTGTGTAAACTTGACCTGTTTTCTTTTCCTCCTTTAATTTGTCCTTTCTTCTGTAAAACACAGACATCAAGGAGACAGCACTAGAAATGTTGCCATTACTTTCTTTGAGAATTCTTTTTTTGTTATTTGGGAGTAACCAGGAGATGTTTTAGGTGTTTTCAACATGTATGTTGCCTGTTCTCTTGTTCTATCATGTGTCCCTTGAAGTACATATGATACGACAGACAAGTACAGAGTCCCAGGACACAAATTTTAGTCCCAGTTATATTGTATAGGATTTTGTATCCTTGGTCAAATTATTTTTCTTTCTTTACTTCTTTTTTTTTTTGAGTCAGAGTCTCATTCTGTCACCCAGCTGGAGTGCAGTGGCATACTCACAGCTACTGCAACCTCAACCTGTTGGGTTCAGGTGATCCTTCCGCCTCAGTCCTTCAAGTAGGTGCAACTACAGGCAAGCGCCACCACGCCTGGCTAATTTTTTTATTTTATTGTACAGACAAAGTCTCACTAAGTTGCCCAGGCTGATCTCAAACCCCTGTGCTCAGGCAATTCTCTTGCCTCTGCCTTCCAGAGTGCTGGAATTACAGGCATCAGTCACTGCACCTGGCCTTGGTCTGGACCACATTGTTTTTTTTTGTTTTAATTTTTTGAGTTGGAGTCTCACTCTGTTGCCTAGGCTGGAGTGCAGCGGCACGCTGACGGCCACTGCACCCTCAAGCTGGTGGCCTCAGGTGACTCTCCCTCCTCAGCCTTCCAAGTAGCTGGAACTACAGGCATGTGCCACCACGCCCAGCTAATTTTTAAAATTGTATTGTACAAAGTCCTGCCAAGTTGCCCAGGCTGATCTCGAACTCCTGGGCTCAGGCAATCCTCTCGCCTCTGCCTCTCAAAGTATTGGGATTGCAGGTGTGAGACACCACACCCAGCCAAATTATTTTTCTCTTAAAAAGTTTTAAGAAAGTCTCAATAAAAGATGGAACCTTGAATACATGAATGGTTCTCAAGATATTATCAAATGGAAATACCAGTGTTATACCACCAACAAAAACTGAATAATGGCCTATTCCATCAACCTCAGATAAGAAGTTAACGGACAGAATATTTTCTACTTAACTCTTTTCTCCAGTATATTTTTCAAATACCAAGACTACAGATGTCCTTAAAAACTCAAAACATTTCGCTGTTTGGTTTGCTTTGTCGGTTTTAATACAGCACACAGCGTTCATTTTTGGCTGGCAAAACTGCCTCCGAACTAAATGTGCTAAAACTATGCATTTTTGCAAAAAGCAGCAAGGTTCTTGTGGCTCCTGTATCACTCTCAGGAACCTGCAGATGCACGAGTCTCACAAGAACCTGATCATGCTGTCTCCACCGCCTGGGGGCAAAATCCAGCAGGCTTGGCATTGGGCAGTGAGAAAAGGGGGAGGGGAGAAGAGAGATGGGGATGGGGAACAATAGAAGGAGAGGATCAAGGAAAAGCGAAAGAAAGGGAAAGAGGGCAAGGAGGAAGGTGAGGAAGGAGGAGGAAGGAAGGGGGGAGGGAAAGCGGGAGGAGAGAAGGGGGAGAGAAGAAAGGAAAAGAGAAGAAGGGGGAAGAGGGGGGAGGGCGGGGGAAAGAGGAAGAAATACGGGAGGAGGGAGAAGAGGAGGGGGAGAGGAGAAAGGAAAAGAGAAGGGGGAAAAGAGAGGGGGAGAGCGGGAAGAGAGAGGAAGAAGTGCGGGAGGAGGGAGAAGAGAAAGGAAAAGAGAAGAAACCAGAGGAAAAAGAGAGGGGCGGAAAAGTGGAGGACGGCAAGGCGAGACACCCTGGCCCTCCGTTCGGGGAGGCCCGGCGGGGCGGCCTCCGGGGAGAGCGGCTCCAGGATCGGGAAGGCCGCTGCAGGCCAGTCGCCGTCTCCGCACTCACTGCATCCTTCTCGAACATGCTAAGCCTGCGATCCCTCCTCGGCTCCAAGGGCGGCTGCTGAGGGGCCGGGCTGACGCCGGGCCTCCCGCCTCGGCCGCGCTTCTCCATCTTGCTGCGCTCTCGGAAGGCAGCCGCCCTTCAACGCCTCCGCCCCTCCCAGCGGAAGCGTTAGTCCTGGGCCGGCGCCTCGCACGCGGCCGGAAGTGCCCGCCAGCATCGCAGGAGGCCGGGAGGCGGGGCTGTGAGTCGCCTGCGCCATCCGCGCGCGCCGCGCCCCGGGAAGGGAAGCTATGGAGGTAGGGTGGGTTTGCGGGCGTTGGTGGCACTGGTGGTGCTGGCGACGCGGGGTGGGCGGCGAGCTCGGCCTGCGTGGGAGCGCGACGGGGGCGGGGACGTCGCGGCCCTTCCCTGGTCCTGGACTGAAGCTCGCGGGTGGACGACCGGCGGGCTCGGGGCGGGCGCGGGGAGCCCGCAGCCGGCCTCTACCCACAGCGGCCTCGGGTCCCGGAGGTGTTCAGTCGCAGCTGCCGCCAGTGTCCACACTCGCAGATTACAGCTCTGGTCCTCGCCTCCAGGCCGTGCGGATGCGCTGGCGTGTGGGTAGATGCGAGTCTAAGTGGGACTTCGTGCGTTGTTCTCCCTCAGGCTACCCCGTCTCAAACGTCTGCAATCAGTAATACCCAGCTGGTGCTGTCGAGGACTGAGCTCGAGAGGCTTTCCATGCGTTGTCTTTCGTCACCGCAGCCCTACGAGGTGGCTCTTTTGCAGCTGAGACAGACTCGGACTTGTTCAGTAACTTTTTGAAGGCAGGTGGTAGTAAGAGGCTGGGAGGGATTAAGTCCATCTGCAAAGCAGCGCCCCAGCCCACCGAGCCGCATGGAGAGTGCAGAGATAGTTGCTTCCTGGGTCACATGGCTGGCCCCTTTAGCAGTGCCTTCGCTGTGTGAGCACCCGCGGGAGTTGGTGGGAAAAGAGATGCTCCCGGGACTAGCAGGCACAGTAATAGGATGACACTGAACAGGCGGGGATGTTAAACTGGTCAGCTTCCCAATTAAGGCGCTGCCAAGTCTTAGTTCTTAACCCTTATAACACAGTCGCTCCTTTACTTGATACACCAAAATAGAGTCCTGGTGCAGTTTTCGACCCAGAATGTGCCTTAAACCATGGCCTTAGTGTGATTTGGGATAATTAAGAGGATTTTAATTTTACATAATCATTCATGAAAAAGCAGTTCGGTTTGCTGCTTTATACATGGCAGGGGAGGCTAAACTTTGCCTGTCTTAATTCTTGGTTGAAACAGACTCCTTTAACAAAAGCCAGCTTAACATGAGAGAAGTTTATGAATCACAAGGGATGAATCTCAGTAAAAAGTAATATGAGATAGAGGCAACTACAGAGCATCTTGAACAAAGAACAATATATATGTAGAGAAATAAGAGCGACACAGGAGAGTGGTTTTAGGCTTCTGAGGGTGTGAAACCAGGAAGGTAGATATACAGGCAGGAACTAATAGAGTAAAGTTTGTTTGCAGATTCCTCTGGTGCCTCTTTGGGCTGTTAAGACTCTAAAGTTGTGTCCAATAAATAATCTATATCCTGTTTTTGAGCAGAAAAGGGGGAGGATAGAACTTTTCCTTTGCTGCCTCATTCTCAGCTCTTTTTGGGGGGGATGAAAAAGGCATATTTTGGGGTATCATTCTGGATTTTGACACCATGCAGGGAGATAGGAGTATAGTGGTTTTTTTGCTTCTTTTTCGTTTTGCTAGGTTTTGTGCTCTTCTGTTCCCTGTTAAACATTTACTTTCTTCAGTAACTCTGGGATAATAAGGGAAAGCTGAAAGGAATGATAGCCTACTCATAAAACCTGTTGTGCTTTTGTGAACTCATAATTTAACAAATATTATGATCAATAAAATAAGTCCAAGTCTTTCAATCTTTTTCATGTTTGAGAACATTTAGACAAATTGTCTTTAATATTTAATCAGGGCCAGGCTCAATGGTTCAGTCTGTAATCCCAGCACTTTGGTAGGCCGAGGCGAGTGGATTGCCTGAGCCTGTGGTTTTGAGACTAGCCAGGGCAACTTGGTGAGACCTCATCTCTACAAAAAATAAAAAAATTAGCCAGGCATGGTAGCACACGCCTGTAGTTCTGGCTACTTGGAAGTCTGAGGCGGAAGGATAGCCTGAGCCCAGCAGGTCAACGCTGGGGTGACCATGAGTGCACCACTGCACTCCAGCCTGGGCGACAGTGAGACTCCAACTCAAAAAAAAAAAATTAAATCAACTGGGCGTGGTAACGCATGCCTGTAATTCTGGCTACTCGGAAGGCTGAGGAGGAAGGATTGCCGGAGCCCAGCGGGTCGAGGCTGTGGTGGCCAGGAGCGACCACTGCACTCCAGTCTGGGCGACAGAGTGAGACTCCAACTCAAAAAAAAAAAAAAATTAATTAGTGTATTAATTATATAGCCCTAATGCTATCCAGGAAGCATGTTAATAACAACTGAGTACATTCAGCACGTAAGATAGAGTTTCCTATGACTTAATATGTGATTAAATACATAGTTAATATTCTTCTTTTTCTTTCCTGTTAGACAATATCTCTTATGTTTTATTTTTCAGCTACTAATAGGGGACTCTACTACCACATGCCTTTCTCCCTCAGTATATGATATGATTTGTAAACTTGGGTTTGAACTCAGAGTAAATTGTGACATCAATAGCATCATAACACAAGATGGTAAAGTATGCTGGAAAGCAATCACAGACTGTGTAAGCTATATAGACTCAGGTTTGTACTTGCTGTGTACCCCAAGATTTTGTCAGTACTGATCATGGAAATATTTTCACTTGTGAAATTCACCTTTCTGAACATTGCTTCCTTTTGTTAGAGGATGTTTATGATGCAGGCCTATCTCAAAAGAGAAAAGAAATCAATGTGAAAAGAGGGGATGTGGCCAGATATGCATGGAAAAGTTCATGGAAACTGGGCTAGGAAACCACTTGTGCATAGGAGGAGTCAGGGCCTTGAGGGGCTGGTGGGCTATTGATGACTTAAGTCTCAGGGCCCTGAGATGATTCTTTGTAGGATCATATGAATTAAGGGTATGAAATGACCAGTAATAGATTATACAACCTTTAAAATATCTTCCAAGCATTTTTGTACATTTTTTTAATATTGATTTATTTTCAGAGATAGGATCTTCCTCTGTTTCCTGGGCTGGAGTGCAGTGGTGTGATCCTAGCTCATTGCAGCCTCAAACTCTTGGGCTCAAGCCATCCTCTCACCTCAGCCTCCTGTGTAGCTGGGACTTACAGGCATATAGCACTGTGCCCAGCTTATTTTTAAATTTTTTGTAGAGATGGAGCCTGGCCATGTTGCCCAGGCTGGTCTAGAACTCCTGGGCTCAAGTGATCCCAAGTGATCTGCTTCAGCCTCCCAAAATGCAGGGACTACTTAAGCATGAGCCACCATGCCCTGCAAGTATACATTTTTGAAGCAGAAATATGGGTGGGGAAATTTAATAATAGTTTAAAAATTACAAATGGATGTATTCTGCCCAGGAATTCCATTTTTAGGAGTTTGTATGATTGATACACTAAAGATATGAAAGTGTGTTTGTGCAAGAATATTCCTTGAGGCATTGTTAGTAATAACTAAATTTTAAAAAGGCAAATAGGCCGGGTATAGTGGCTCATGCCTATAATCCCAGCACTTTGGGAGGCTGAGGTGATAGGATCGCCTGAACCCACGGGATTGAAACTAGCCTGGGCAACTTGGTGAGACCTCATCTCTACAATAAGTGAAAAAATTAGCCGGGTGTGATGGTACATGCCTATAGTTCCAGCTATTTGGACCGCTGAGGCAGAAGGATCACCTGAGCCCAGCAGGTTGAGGCTGCGGTGGTTGTGAACGTGCCACTGCACTCCAGCCTGGGCAACAGAGTGAGACTCTAACTCAAAACAAAACAAAACAAAACCAATAATCTGCAAACAGTCAAACATCAAATGGTAGGGGATTGGTTTAGTAATTTATTCCTTACATGCTGGTAAAAAATGACTATCATCTGATAGAAAAATCTGAGCTAAGTGAAAAAAGATATGTTTATAATCACCCTTTTGTGATTTTTTAAAATCATGAACCATGTGGATGTTCAACTCCAAACATCACAAAACACCAAAAAATGTATATTATAAAGTGTTCTAAAATAATTCATTGTCATTAGAAATTTCACAGTCTAATAATGATTAGTGGAATCAGATTATAATATTATATATACAGTGTGAGCCTGGTTTCCTGTATACTTACTTACAGGTAAAAACACTGAAGGAAATATTTTTTCTCCTGTTTGAACTTTTTGTATTTTCCAAACTCTACTGACAGTATATTTTTCTTTTATAATCAGATAAACATGTAATTTATTTGTACCATATGTTCAGTTGTAAACTAATTGTTGATTTTTGTGGAAATTTTATCGTTAAAACACTTTTTCTTGGATGATTTAGATATTTTTAATCACATGATGTGGAGCTGTGGTACTAACACTTGTTTTCTTATTCTTTAAGACCAGGGTCTGGATTACTGGGGAAGTGTGAGGCTGCTTGGGCCTGTGTGTGAGGCCATCCACTTACATTTCTTATCTCTGACCAAGGAGCAGTTTGAAATTCAATATGCACTGTGGTTTCAGTGGACAGATTTTCCAGAGGTTTGGCTTTTGAAAACCTTTACAAAGAAAAGACTTTACAAATATTTCTTAGAGGCCTTATTAGTTGCCAGTTTTGAAGGGGTCTCCTCCTTTGTCCCCAAGTCCTCCAACAGTGAAGAAGTCTTGAGGGTTGCAAGGGAGCCCTTAGTTATCCCAAGGTCTCCAAAGCCTAAACTGAGAAACATGCCCCTTGGAACAATGGGAGTTTTTAGATTTCATTATGACAGAATTAGGAGTTGGAGAGGTAGCACTTGGTATGTGGTACTCATCCTGGGACAAGAAAAACGGAGCATTCTAGAGTCAGAGAGACCCTGTAGAAAGAGTGTGAGGTATCCTGAGACAGCAAGGCCAGGAGACTAGAACCAGGGATGCTTGGTTTGTTAACAGGGAATTGAAGGTGGGATAGGTAGTTTGAGGCCCAATCCCAAATGTTTTCTTTCCCCCTTTTTTGTTAGTTTTTCTTCCATTTCATTTGGCATGCTAAATGACCACAGTAAAGCAGTTGCTGTAACAAGTCTAGCTCTAAAATCCTTTGAATTTCTGAATGTGGAGTCAGAACAGTGCCTTCCCCTTTGAATAGTGCTGATAAGTGGCAGGATAAGCTGCGTTGTATTTATCTGTTTTTAAGGACTAAGCTAACTCAAGAGTAACAAGTTAAGTAAATATTTGACTTTTCAGTTTACAATTACTGCTTTCAATAAAAGGTTTAAATAAGGAAAATTAGCCAGGTGCAGTGGCTCACGCCTGTAATCCCAGCACTTTGGGAGGTGAAGGCGAGAGGGTTGCGAGTCTAGGGATCGAGACCTGCCTGGACAGCATAGCAAGACCTCAGCAATACAAAAATAAAAAAAAAATAGCTGGGTGTGGTGGTGCACATCTGTAGTCCCAGCTACTTGGAAGACTGAGGTGGAAGGACTGCCTGAGCCCAGGAGGTCAAGGCTCATGTGAGCCATGATCATGCCACAGCACTCCAGCTTGTGTGACAGAGTGAGACTCTTACTCCAAAAAAAAAGAACTTTTAAATAATTCTTATACTTTTATTACTTACTTTTATTTTTTAGGCAATGTAATATTTATACAGAAATATTTACTTATCTACCCAAAATAATTAAATATCACAGTTGAAATCTTTAGGGGTTTGAATTTCAAGAAATAATATTATTACTTTGAGAAATATTTCTTGAGTGCAAATTCAAATATGTGCCTTTTTCTAAACAGTTATTTCCTGAAATATTTGATGCCTTGAAAAGTCTACAATCAACTGCTATTTCTCTTAGCTTAATGAAACTGACATCATGTCTAGAACGAGCCTTGGGTGATGTAAGTGTGAGAACGCTTTTATTATTAAGTTATCTGAATGCACGTGAAACTATTTTACAGTTGCCCTCAGATTTCTTGATTTAATTCTTGTTTTCCTAGTCATTTCTAGTCATTGGATACAGATTTTTAATATTTTTCTTTGTGAACAATTGCAAAATCAAAAGATTGGTGTCTAAGTACTTTTCTGCCCTCATTTGTACAAAGAGTTGCCTCATGGATAATGTTTTCAGTGTTTATTGAAGTTATAACGCAGTTGTTATCCCACTTTTGTCTGGCTGTCAGGTATTTGTATTGATGGGGAAGGAATGTCCCTTTCTCTTGAGAGACCTACTTCGATCTGAGGAACTTTCTCATGTCTTCGGGCAGTCTGTGGTAAGCTTGCTCATCTAAACTCACAGAAGAAGCCTGACACAAAACCACAGGCATTAACTGTGCTTTTACTCTTCCAAAACTGATGATACTTTAGGAAAAACTCCATCGTATCAGTGACTCAGGCGTGTTCTCCCTTTCTACCTTCCCTTTCAGGATTTCCCCTTTCCCAGCACAGAGCAGGCTTTCCTGTCCTGACTGCAGGTAACCTCCAGGTGCCATGGGGACAATCAAAGCATGGTGCTCTGATCAGTGATGTATTCTAATTAAAATACCAACTCAATCCAGAATAAAATTTTAACTCTCTGAAAAAAAGAGTATATTATGGTGTTATTCTAAAGTCCCAATATTTTTAACATGTGAAATTAGGCCCTTTACAACCATTTAAACTTATAGTGAAAATTCAGATGTTAAAAAATCATGCAGAAGTAAATGCTTTATCAAAATCTTCTAAGACAAAGCCCAGGTAAACACAATCAGAAATACAAAAAAATCAAATCACAACTGACCCGGCAGAAATACAAAAGATTATCAGAGATTACTGTGTACAGTTATATGGAAACAAACTTGATAACCTAAATGAAATGGAGGACTTTCTGACATCATGCAACCTCCCCAGGTTGAAACAAGAAGACATTGAGACACTAAATAGGCCAATAACAACCCAGGAAATTAACTCTGCCATACAAAAACTACCTACAAAAAAATTCCCTGAACCAAATGGCTTTCCAGCAGATTCTACAAAACATACAAGAAGGAACTGATAGCAATCCTGTTGACAGCATTCCAGGCAATTTAGAAAGATGGGATTCTCCCCAAGTCATTTTATGAAACTAACATCACACTGGTACCCAAACCAGGTAATGATCCAACAAAAAAAAGAACTACCGGCCAGTATTCTTTATGAACATAAATGCAAAAATCCTCAACAAGATTCTAACAAATCGGATCCAAAAACGCTTCTCCAAAAACATCTACCATGACCAAGAAGGTTTCATCCCCAGGATGCAGGGGTGGTTCAACATTCGCAAGACTGTAAATGTAATTAAATACATCAATAGATGTAAAAACAAGAATCACATCATTATATCATTAAATGCAGAAAAACCTTTTTTAAAAAAATCCAGCATCCCTTCATGATAAAAACCCTCAAACACTTAGGTATAGAAGGAACATACCTCAAAATAGTAAGTGCCATCTATAATAAACCCACAATTAACGTATTGCTAAATGGACAGAAACTGGAAACATTTCCCCTGAAAACTGGAACAAGACAAGGCTGCCCATGCCCACTCCTGTTGTTCAACATTGTGTTGGTAGTCTTAGCTAGGGCAATTAAATAAGAAAATTGGGTATCCAAATAGGAAAAGAAGACATCAAGTTTATCCCTCTTTACTGACAATATGATCCTATACATTAAAAATCCAGAAAAATCTGTCAAATCCTGCTTGCACTGATAAAGGACTTTGGCAAATTCTCAGTGTACAAAATAAATGTGGAAAAGACAGTTGCATTCCTGTATACCAACAACAAGCAGGCAAAGAACCAAAAAAAAAAAAGCACAATTCCATTCACAACAGCCACAAAAAAACTGAAATACCTCAGCATCTTCCTAATCAGAGAAGTGAAAGACCTTTACAATGGGAACTACAAAACAGTGCTCAAAGAAATCCAAGAAGACACAAACAAATGGAAAAATATTCCATGCTCATGGATAGGAAGAATCAACATTGTTAAGCTGTCCATCCTACCAAAGGCAATCTACTGGTTCAACGCAATACCCATTAAATTACCAACATCATTCTTCTCAGACCTGGAAATGATAATACAGAAATTCATATAGAAACATAAAACGACCACAGATAGCCAAAACAATCCTTAGCAAAAGAAACAAAACAGGAGGTATCACACTTCCAGACTTCAAACTTTACTATAGGTTTACAGTAATCAAAATAGCCTGGTATCGGTACAAGAACAGGCATATAGACCAATGGAACAGGATAGAGATTCTGGAAGCAAAGTCTCAATTTCTCAACCAACTCATCTTTGACAAAGCCTCCAGCAACAACCACTGGGGAGAGAATGGCCTATTCAGCAAATGGTGCTGGGATAACTGGCTGAACACATGCAGAAGATTGAAACGGGACCCCTATCTATTACCATACACAAAAATTAACTCTAAATGGATCAAAGACCTAAACGTAAAACTTCAAACTATAAGAATCTTAGAAAAATGCAGGAGACACACGTATGGAAATAGGAACTGGCAATCAATTCCTGATCAAAATTGTAAGTGCGCATAACATAAAAAGTAAAACAGACAAATGGAGCCTTGTCAAACTGACAAGCTTCTGCAAAACAAAAGAAACCATCAAAAGAGCAGGGAGACAGCCCACAGAGTGGGAAAAAATATTTGCCAACTCTATATCTGACAAAGCCCTAACATCTAGGATCTACAAGGAACTCAGAAGTGCCAAAAAGAAAAAACAAACTGCCCCATTACAAAGTGGGCAAAAAATATAAATAGACACTTCTCAGAAGAAGATATACAGGCAGCCAACACACATGAAAAAGTGCTCAACCTCACAAATCATCAGAGAAATGCAAATCAAAACCACATTGAGATACCACCTAGCCCCAGTAAGAATGGCCATTATTAATAAAAGAAACAACAGATGCTGGCAAGGATGCAGAGAAAAAGGAATGCTTCTACACTGCTGGTGGGAATGTAAACTAATGCAATCTCTTTGGAAGACAGTGTGGCGGTTTCTGAAAGAACTAGAAATTGACCTTCCATATGACCCAGCAATTCCCCTATTGGGAATATACCTGGAGAAACTCAAATCATACTACAAAAAAGATACTTGCACACGCATGTTTGTTACAGCTCTATTCACAATAGCAAAAACATGGAACCAACTGTGCTGCCCATTGAAGCTGGACTGGATAAAAAAATGTACATATATACAATGGAATGTTAGGCATCCATAAAGGACAAACATATGGATTTTGCAACAACTTAGATGGATTTACAGTGTATCATACTCAATGATCTATCACAGAAACAACAGAGTACCATATGTTCTCACTCATAAGCAGACCTTGAACAGTTACCATAATACTGTAAGAAAGGGATTGGCAGTAATGGGAAACTGCCAGGGGAGGAGGGGTGGGATTGGCAGTTGGGGAAACTACCAGGGGAGAAGGGGCATACTTCATCAACAAGGGTACCTGCATAATCAACCTTTGTATACCTAACCCTGGATTGCAACCCACATCTTTAAAGCAAAATCTAGTGGGCACATGGTCAAGAGAATTAGGAGTGATGAATAACCCTTAGGCAGCAGAGTGAGGTGGGCTTGGCCAAGCAGCACAGGGGAGCCTCGTGGGAAAGCACACCAAGCCAGGAAGCCCCTAGTACAGAAATGTGTTGAGTGATGCTTTCCCATTGTGGAGCTTTCTCCCTTGTCAACTTCAAGATGGTTTTCTTTTGTGGACAGCATGGAATGAAAAAGTGTTTCACCGAACTGTTAAACACATCTCACTTCTTGGACCTGTTCCGCCACCTTCCTCTATGCTGCTGGCTGTCTGTTCATCTGCCTCTACTTTAGCTGCGGAGTACTTTTACCTGGTCCCTGGCATTTAACTCACATACTTCTGATTGCCCAGAAGTATTGAAAAATGAGTGGAGGAGCAAAAAGACCTAATGTGACATTGAAGAACTGGTTGGTCCATGTTCTTGTATTGAGTTGAATCCCTCATGGTCATTTCCACCTGCTGGTTTTGGTTCTACCCTCGGGGGTAACTCAGAATGCACCTATTTCCTGTTCTCACAGCTGTCTTTCACATGTATGAAGATGGCTTTCACTTCTTCCTGAGTCTTCAGGAGACTCAGCTGTTTCTTCTATAACAAGTTTTTTAGTCTCTGAACTTCTTCCATTTTTTCTGAATTGCTTCTAAAGTTCAGTGCTTCCAACCCAGAAGCAGTTCTGTGGGAATGGCATGAGGAGTGCAGTCCACTAGGTAGGATCCCTATGCTGGGTGTGTTCTTCACTTTGTAGATAGAGGGTGGAGTAGGTAAGTGATGAGCTTCAAGTCAGACAAGTGGAGGCACAGCCTAGAGCCTCACTGACTTGGCTTTGCCCTGTTCTCTATTTTACCAGACAACTACATGGTGCCTAATACTGAGTTTCTGTTTATCACTGCTTTTTACATAGATATTGGGCACATTTGATGCACAGGATTAAAGCAGTACAACCTGGCTCAGCTCTTATCCTCCTCTGTTAACTTGTAGCCTTTGAAACGTTGGTTCCACCTTTCCATTCTTGTGTTTTTTTCTCATCTGCATGGTGGAAGCAATACTAGTACCTTCCTCATAGATTGTTCTGAGGGTGGATGAGTTCATGAGCACATGCAAAAATGTGTCTGGCACATAATTATGCACTCAGTAAGTGATGGTCTTATTATTATTACTGCTATATACCAGCCAAAGCTGTTGATTCTGTCAGTTCCAAAGAAGAAAGACATTGTTTTGGTATTATTTTGGTTTAGTCAGTAAGTCAGTAATTACTTAACTGTCTAACAATTTGCTGTCCTTAACTGGGTTAGATGCATGTCCTGCAAATCTTCATTGGCTCTCCGTGTGGTCTCAACCTGCGTAATGTCTTGTGGCATGGGTTTGCATCACCTCAAGAAATTCCTCCAAAGTAAGTTTCTAGTGAAGTAATTTTCTTTTTTTGATCTACTGAAGAGTTTGTTTTATCTTGATTTTCATGAGAAAGAAAGACGTATTTGGTGAAAGATGAATGAGTTTTGAGACAGGATTTTGAAGATAAAATTGAATTTTACTAGCATAGTAACCAGAGTGGTGACAGGGTTATGGTTTTGATGACTTTCACCCCACAGGCACTTCAGGGGCAACTACAGAAGGAAGCAATGCGGTGCACACCCACGTGGGTGGGAGACCCTGAGGTTTCAGCTCATGTGTTCCTAAGCTGTTACTGCTCCTCTCCACCATTGTGCAGCTTAATTCCTACATCTAGAGGGAGTTGTGTATGATTTATTGGTGCTTTGCTTTCTTAATTTTAAACTTTTTTATGATGAAGCTTTTTATATATATGAGTTCATTTTTTGTAGCAGATCTCTATGGTATTTCCCCTAGATACTGTTCCACGATGATATTGTTGACAGCAGGATTGGGTCAGTTACTAAAGAGTTACCTTCAACACAGTAAGCTTACATTGGCACATCGATCTTTCATAACTCTTACAAGCCTAGAGGATTTGCTTGTTTTTCCTGGTAAGTACTATGTTTCATGTTTCCTCATTAACATATCTTCCCAAAGATATTTGCAAAGTCAGTACAAAGTATGAAGATTTGAACTCTTGAGGTGGAGTAAAGTGGTTATTCTCCAGTGGCAAGATGGCTTACAAAGTTACTTGAAGAGAAATGTGAGTAGTAAAAGCTAAGCATGGAGACTCTGTCCTACAACACAAGGAACTGAATTCTGCTAGTAACAGGAATGAGCTTCAGATGAGAATGCACTTGGGTGATAATAGTTGATCAGCGAAACCCCCGGTACCAGACTCCAGTCCTATATAGCTGTAATATTTAAAAACAGGTGTTGTACTAAGCTGCTAATTTTAAGGTAGTTTTTTTGTCAGCAAGTGAAAACTAATGCAATATCCAAGGATGTAAATAATTTTAACTTCAGATTTACAGTCTAACATGGGTTCATTCTAAGCCTTATTTTTTACTTGCTGGGTAACTTTGAGATTAATTTCTCCTAATGTTTATTTCCTCATCTATACAAGGGATAGAATACCTACCTGCCTTCTAGGATTGTTGCCAAAATTAAATGAGATGCAGTTGATATAATGCCCAGCACATAATCAGTGCCATTTGTTATTTCCCAATAAGAATGATCATGGCAATCCACTAAGAAAAGATAGAGATAGCCCATGATCGATATTTTGACTTGCAGGAATTAGAACCATAGACATCCTTAAGAGAAATAAAAGTAAACATTATTCTCAGGAGTACAGGTGCTTAACCTGTAGTAGCTATTTAAATTTGTAGCTATTTTTCATTCATTAAACTCTGGATTTCTGTACTTACACGAGTAAATCTTTAAAAAAAAAACCAAAAAACAAAATTTCTTGAAGAACCTCTTAAACCATGTCATGTAAACCCTACCTCTTCCCACCATTCCCTGTAGTTGTGGGGAGCCTCTGAGAGTCGCAGCCATGCAAGTCAATGCTAGTTAGAGCTGGTTTATCCCTCTGATGTGTCAACATAGAAAAACGGCTCCAGTTTTTCCATGGTGGGCACTTCCTTCTCCTTCCACCTCTGTGTCTTTGTGCTCATGATCATTATGCCAGAAGTACTTGTAGTATTGAGCATCTTCTGAAAATGTATGTTACTTCAGTTAGTCATTGGGGTCACCTGCTCAGCCCTGAAACTGAAGAGATGCAGGTGTCCATTCCCCTTTCATCAAGGTGCTTGAGGTCACCCACATTCTGGCTCTCAGTCAGGGCAAGCCTACCTTTTGATGGGTCCCCTCCTGCAGAGGCCATGGTTCCTCCATCCAAAGATGTGGGCTCACTGGCACCCACCATTTTTCAGCTGATTCGTGTAATTGTGCTTACAACTGTTTGCTGTTTTGCAGATGTGACTCATGAGATACTTTCAGTATTAGAAGAGGTGATGATGAAATCTACTTTTATATTAAAAATCATGTTACCATATTGGGAAATTGCACTGATCAAGTTCAAGTCACACAGGTAACTGCAGGTGCATGACAGGGCTGCTTTGATGATGGGAGGCCAGTCTTTCTCAATGTCTTCACCTTCCACCATTCTGCTGTGGAGCAGAAGAGAACAGGTTGTCTGGAGTAGACCTGGCCACAGGGCACCTTATGCTGCCACTTCCAGGACAGCTGCAATTGCACTGTAGTTAATAAAATGATGTTTCAGTTTACTCTTTAGTATTTTTTGGAGTTCTTACTGTGAGTGAAACATTGTTTCCAGAATCATAAAACAAAGACAGACAAGCTTTGTCCTTATATTCTGTTTCTATTCCTGCAAGTACAAGTATGTATGGGACCAAACACATGTGTCTTAGCAGTCAGAGGGTCTGATGAGCTGGTCTTTAATTTCTTACAGGAATACATTCATTTTTATGCCTTGAGAACCCATTGAAATCCTGGTATTTTAGTATTTTTTAGAAGTGGTGCAATGAGTTAGGCAGATCTTTGATAACATTCTACTGAAGCTACTAAAAATGGTTCATCAAACAAGACACTGGCAAATGGTTTTAAAATCACTAGTTAATACAACTGTGGTTCTATTTTTATTTCTCAAATTAGCAAATAGTATCACTTCTTCTTGTCTTTGAAACCACATGGTCAAATCTGAACTGCAGGAGAATTATTATGATGTTGATGCCCATATTAAGTTTTGAAACATGGAGGTCTGCTTATTTTCTTTCCATTTCACAGGTTTGCTGACTGTGCCATATTGTTACTGGCACAGCTAGAGACTGGACTTAGGAAAGTGTTTGCTACAGTTAACAAATGTCCAAAAAGACTCTTGACTGCTGAGGTACATTTTTTTATTTTAATTTTTAAAAATTTAAAAATTTTATTTCAAAGGTGTGGGGTACAATTCAGGATTAGGTATATAAGTGGTCATCGTACAGGTAACGTTTGCTCCCTTTGGTTCCTACTTTGCCTGGTTTGAGATCAGGTGCCCTTGAGGTATATGTGTTTTTTTGTTGTTTGTTTTTTTGTTTTGAGTTGGAGTCTCACTCTGTTGCCCAGATGGGAGTGCAATGGCCGCTCCCAGCCACCACAGCCTCGACCTGCTGGGCTCCGGCGATCCTTCTGCCTCAGCCTTCCAAGTAGCTGGAACTACAGGCGCGTGCTACCATGCCCGGCTAATTTTTTGATTTATTGTAGAGATGAGGTCTCACCAAGTTGCCCAGGCAGGTCGCGAACCCGCGGACTCAGGCAAGAGGTATATGTTTTTATTATTGATTGTGATTGTTGTTGCTGTAGTGACAATTTTCTGTGACAAATTAAAAGTTTAAAAAATTTTTATCTTATGTATTTTTTTTTTTTTTTTTTTTTTTTTTTTTTTTAT